CACACTTCCATCCCTCAGCCCAAACACAAGCCTGTGCTTTCCCACCCAGAGGAGGTTTCCTCTCCCTCCCATCCCAAAGGAGGAGCATGAGCTCTGTGCCTGGAGCAGAAGGCACCAAAGGGGAAAAGAGCTGGGGTGGGCACCAGGACTGGGCACAGAGAGCAGCAGGGATTGCAGCTGGGTCAGCACTGACCTGGATTCACAGCATCAGACACCAGCTTCCTGCCCGGCATCCTGAGCCCTCGGAGGAGATGACTCCATGTGGTCCATCCCTTCCTGGCCCCGGTTCCATGGTGGATGTGCCAGTGATGGGGCATCCGTGGCTGTGGGGACTGTGGGGCATGGAAAGAGCATCCCCCCCTGCTCCATAAGCATGGCCTGGGTCTAACTGACCTCTGTCCTGCTGGTACAGCAACAGGCACTGGCAAATGGATGGGGCTTGGAGCAACCTGCTCTAGTGGAAGGTGTCCTTGCCCATAGCAGGAGCTTGGAATTGGATGAGCTTTAAGGTCCCTTCCAACCCAAATTAGGTTGGGATTCTATGAAATCCCCTGTCACTCATGGGAGATGGACAAACAAACCTTATTCCCTTAGGAAACCCAGCCATAAACCTCCTCCCTGCCCCTTGGTGGTGTGACATGTGTTTGTACACACACACATATGGATGGGGACCTTGTCCCTCCAGCATGTCACAACCAGCCCCAGACACCAGGACACATGGTCCTCATGTCCCAGCCTGAAGGAACCTTCTCCCTGCCTGGGAAAACCCCATCCCCAGCCCCTTTGGGGAGCCCGGGGCTCATATTCACATCGATTCCCTCTACCAGCAGCTCAAAGCTTTCCTTTTGCAGCCCAGCTCCAGCTCGGAGCAGCAGCATCCAGCTTTGATGCTCCCCCCTCTCCAAGATGGTTCATTTACAGGATGAGTCACAGGTTGTGAATGCTCCTGATGGAAAGCAGTGATGCCACCTTTGAGAGCCAGCTGGGAAAGGGAGCGGGGACACATCCAGGCTCACAGCTCCCTGAAATCCAGGGGGATGCTGCCAGTTCCCAATCAATGCTCCATTGCCAGCCAAAGACCAGGAGGCGGTGGTGAAAATACCCAAATAAACAAGCATCAGGACAAAAGAAGGCTCCCTTGGGACCGGGTCCCTCAGGGACGGGGCATGGTGAGACGCTTGCTGTTGCGGGCAGGAACAAAGGAAAACGGTTTTGGAACCCCTCAAATAGGATAATTAGGGATGAAAAGGCAAGAGCACGAACCAGCTGATGCGCCCACCCTGTATCTGTAAGGAGCTCAGTGCTGGGTGGGAGCAGGGGGCTCGGGGCACCATCACCAGCTTAAGCCCAGTGAGGGGACGGTCTCCCTTGTACCCTGGGGGCATGGAAAACGTCTTGGTGGCATCATTCCTGCAGGGAAGGGATGGCTGTACAGTGCAGAGCAGAGATTTCCCACCCCAGCTCCCAGCCCGGCCATCTCCCGGGTACCCTGCACACAGCAGCAAAGAACCGATGCTGCAGACACCCCCTCACCCCCCCTTCTCGCCATTCAATCATGCATAATGGGGAGGCAGAGAAGAGCCTCATCTAATTTGAGCTCCCCTGAGGGATGGGCTTTGTTCTTTCCCGCAAGGTATGAAAACAGGAGGATGTGTTGACGTGGGGAGAGCACAAACCACACACATCAGCCCTTTTCCTCTTCAAGGCTGATTTACCTGGAGCTGTCAGCGGAGGGAAGGGAAGAGATGAGCCCCAGGGAGCAGGGCTGGGGGGGAGCAGCCTGGACCCACAGCTTGGTGGGTACCGGTGTGGCTGGGCTGCTGCTTGCAGAGCATCTGGTCCATTCTCTCTTTCTTGCCATCCCCAAAGCGTCTCAGACCCACAGAGAGCAAAGCAAGGAGAAACCCAAGTGGTCAGAAAGCCTCTGAGCACAACCATGAGGTTAGGATGGGGTGAAGCCCAGGAGCCCTCCTGCAGCACCCATAGGTGTAAACGCAGCTCTGTTCTTTTTGCATGTGGTTTTCTCCATATCCTGCTTAGATCCCATCTCCTACTTCCCATCTTCCACCAGGAAAATCCCAGCTCCTCTTATGCATCCTGTTCTTTTCAGGCTTTTCCTAAAGCCTAAAAATTACTTCTTAGGAGTTACTTTGGCTCCTCTTGAGCATCTGGGGATGTGGTGCTCCATTGACATTGCTTTTGGGGAGAATGTGGAAAGGCAAGCAAAAGGATGGAGATAAAAGGTGACTGCACGTGTGATGTGTCCCTGCCTGCAGGTACCATCCAGGGTGTTAGGAAGGGTCATGGACAGGGATGAGACCAGAATGCAGCACCGACGGTGGCATTTCAGTCAGTGCCCATCCCCGCAGGACTGACCACGGATGCTCAGCACCAGGTCTGAGCAGAACTGGCTTTAAAAGCAAAACCCTGTGCAAGTGAAACACCTGCTTGTGTAGTATGGGGAGGAAAGAGAGCAAGCAGCACCCAAGGCCGTGGAGCCAATGCTGGGGCCATTATAATGATCAGGTCCAGAGGGGAAGAGGGTCTTCCCATGGTGAAATATGCCCTGTGGAGTCTGCAGCCTCTGAGTAAATCACAGCACTGCCATGAGCAGCTCCAGCTCTATATCCCCCTGGATGGAGCCCATGCCAAGGATGAAGTTTCCTCTTTGACAGCCTCAGAATCACTCTCATCACCTCGGTTTGATTTAACTCCTTTCCTCCCGTTTGGATGCGGTGGGAGAAGCAGCATCCCACTGCTACCCAGGGGCTGGAGGAGAAAATACGAGCTACAGTGATGCCAGAAAGAGCTTCCTAAGAGGAGGAGGAAAGCAGAACTTGACCCGCAATGAAGGGGCATGGATAAAACTCTGGTTACAAAGAGAATTCCCTGGTTCTTGAGCAGTGTCAGAGATGGGGCTCAGGACTCGCAGGAGCCATCACTTCACCTCCTGCATGCACGGTCCTGGGGCATGGGTGATGCTCTCCCGTCCAACGTGCCCTCCCTGCCTCAGTTTCCCCAAGTTTGGCACCTCCATCCATGGAACAGCAACAACTGGATGGGCAGCAAAGCTCTTTAAAGGCTTCCCATGTATCTGACGCACTCACCGGGTTCATTTTTAACACTCCAGCTGGAAAGAGGGAACTCAGACGCCGGAGCTGAGCCGAGGGGATGTGTTTGCTGGAACCTGCCAGGACGATGAGTCTTTAGCAGATAACCCTTTGCTACAAGGGGCACGGGGGGGTCTCTGGCTGTGCCGGGGGCCAAGCAAAGGGACGAACCCTCCTCATCCATACTCAAAAGCTGTTTTGCACTTCCCGACCTGACGTTTCCCTCCCGCTGGGCGCGCTGGGCAGCAGGACTGCGTCAGAGATGTGCACAGCAGAGACTCAGCGCCTTGCCCCGGGCCCGGGGGGCTGCTGTCACCTTGGGAAGGTGTTTAAAGCCCGTGTCCTGGCTGTCACACACGTGCCTCTGCCCTGCCTGCCTTTGGGGAGCCATCGCATGGATGGATGGATGGAAACACCCTCCAGGCAGAGGCTGATGCATCCCACGAGGAGCAAGGCGCAGGACCTCGAGCTGTTCTAGCACATCAAAGCCATCTCCGTGCTCCCAGTCCTTGTCCGTCCCCATCCCATGAGCCCTCCAGGAGCATCGCCACCAAAGCCGAGCAGCACAAACCATCGCACGTCACCGCTGCCTCCTTCGGCAGCGGCCCAGGAGCTGTTTAGCATCTGAACCGGCTGATGAATGAGAAGCTGCTAATTCCCTCCCGGGCCTTCTGACGAGGCTCTTGATGAACGGTTTGGATGCTTTGACACTGCAGGAGCCGCGCAGACTGCAAAGCCCAGCTCCAGGCTTGACCCAGCTCCATGGTCCCTGTCCCCTGCTCCATCCCTCCCCAGCCCAAAGCACCCCAGACTGCAGCAAACCGCCCTCCCCAGCAAGCCCGGCACACGAGGCAAGGAATGAACTCAGCCCCAAGGCAAAGAGGTGATGGAGACACCCCAATCATGGGCCCCCAAATCCGCTGGGTCCCCGAGGATGGGGAGCACCCCCAGCATCCCTCCTTGCCCCCTTCCTTACCCCCCAGCATTGTTCCCCACTCCCTCTTCAGCATCCCCCCAAACCCCTCACCCCACAGCAACCCCCGACGTCCCCCCACCCGGATCTCCCCCCCGTCCCTCCAAAGCCCCCCACCACCCGCATCCCTTCAGTTCCCTTCCCCAATCCCTCAATCCATTGAATCCCTCCCGATTTCCCCAAACCCCCTCAACACCCCCCCAGCCCATCCCGCCCCCCCAGTATATGGGGGGAGAGAAAGAGGCAGAGAAAAGGTGGTTGGAGGGTGGGGGTCAGGGAGAGCCCAGCTTTGCTTTGCGGACAAGAGGGGGGCTCTTTGTGATCCCCCCTTCTTCCAGACAAAGAAATCCCGATCCAGCCACAGCGCCGAGATCCATCGCACCCCCCCAATCCCCCCCATCAAGCCCCGAGCCCCCCGGGATGCTCCGGGGTGCAGGGCACAGGGACAGCGAATGGGGCGGGGCGGGGGGGTCCGAGGAGGGACAGGGACCGGGATGGTGGGGACACAGAGAGGGAATGGGGAGAGAAAGGCAGGCAGGAACAGTGGGATGAGGAGGATAAAGCAGGGATGGCGAGGAACGCAGGCAGGAATGGGGGGGAGAGGCAAGGATGGGGGTGTAAGAGGTGCAGGCAGGGACCTGTAGGGAAAAAGGCAGGCAGGAACAGTGGGATGAGAGGGATAAAGCACGGATAAGGGGGACACAGGGATTAGGGCGGAGGAGGCAGGGAGGGATGGGGGAAATAGAGACCGGGGGGGAGACAAGGACCTGTCGCAGGCACGGAGGAAGAAGGGAGGAAGGCATCAGGCAGGGACGGGGGGCGACAGGTAAGGAGCGGGGTGGGGAGAGCCGGCAGGAAGCGGGGGGAGCAGGCAGGGGGTGCAGGCAGGGAGGAGGAGGAGGAGGAGGAGGAAGAGGCAGGCAGGGGTGGGGGCAGCGCCGGGCACGTGGCTCGGGGGACACGCCGGGGGTATAAAACGTCCCCGTCCGCCGCGCAGGGAGAGAGGCGGTGGCTGCCGCCGGGAGGGGGACTCGAACCCGCGGCCCTCGGCTGAGGGCAATGGAGCTGCCCACGGCTGCCGGCACCGCCTGGGGCAACGGCACCGCCTGGGGCAACGGCACCGCCTGGGGCCCCCTGCCCGGAGCCAACGCCACGGAGGCAGCGCAAGCCAAGAACGCCACCTCCATCCTCATCGCCATCGTCATCACCGCGCTCTACTCCGTGGTGTGCGTGGTGGGGCTGCTGGGCAACGTCCTGGTCATGTACGGCATCGTCAGGTGAGAGCGAAGAGGGCGACGGAGGGGCACGGGAGCGCGCACGGGGGTGAGATGGGGGAGAGCGTGCGCCCCGTGCAAGAGACAAGGCAGGAGCGAGCGTGTCCCGGGACTGGGTGCGCGCCGTGTGCGAGGCAGCAGCAGAAGTGAGCGTGCCCTGAGTGTGAGAGCAATGGGAGTGTGCGCCGGGACCGAGCATCCCCCGGGTGCGAGCCAGCAGCAGGAGCGAGGCTGCACCGGGACTGAGCGCGCTGTGACTGAGGCAGCAGCAGAAGCGGCCGTGCGCTGGGAGCAGGGAGCACACAAATGGCACCACCAAGAGCTGCCCCATTCACAGGGAGCCTCCCAAGCCCCACAGCCAGGCAGAGGCTCCGCTGGTGCCTGCCCACTCCATCACTGGCCCCTGGGATGCACACAGCATGAATTAACCACCCAGCCCATTCCCGGCCCCGCTGGGAGCTCCTGTTCTGCTCCTGCAGCGCTGACTCTGGCTTTTCTCTAACAAAGAGCAGGAGCCTGCATCGCCCAACCCAGCTCGCACCACGGCCAAGCTGCCCCCCAGCACCCACTACCGCCTCCAGCAGCAGGTCCTGGGGGACCCTGAACCCTGCTTTGCCTCCATCCAGTGGCAAACCAGGCACCAGTGCAGGACCTCCGGCTTGCAGAGGCTTTTCCTGCACAGGGAGCAGAGGTCTTCTGGGTCTCTGCACCCCAAAACAGGCAACAGGACCCCTCAATGCCCCCCTTTCTCAGTAGGGAGATGCTGCTGTACCCAGCCTAACGCTTGTGCTGGGGTGCAGCATTTCCTGCCTGTACCAACAGCCCCTTTGTCCAGGACAGAGATTGCCCCTGTCTGGGTGAGACGGGTTGACCCGGCTGAGGCTGTGGTTAATACATGATGATAAAGCCAAGCCTTGCAGAGCACAGAACCTCCGTGGCCCCAGCAGCAGCAGGGGCAGGAGCTGTGCTCCCCATCACACCACTGGCAGCAACGGGCTTCACAGCACCCACACCAGAGAGGGCCCCAGATCCATGGGGTTAATCCCAATTCTCATCACCCCAGGGCTTGCTGCAGCCCCAGCGAGGGCTGAACCCCCCCTGGTGCTTGTGGCTGGATTCAGGCAACCCCCCCCCCCAGATGCCCGTTTAGAACCATTCCCCTCCAGCACTTTCAGAGCAGAGGGATGCTCGCAGGAGGTCAGCGCAGCCCAGCATTGCCTGTGCATGACATGGATGTGGTGACTCACCGGGGAGAAGGAAACCAGCCTCAAACATGCCCATGAGGCACGCCAGGCCGCCCAGCAGCCTGTTTATAACCATCCAAGAGGGTGGGCGATGGGCATAGGATGGGGATGGGAATGAGAATGGGATGGGATGGGATGGGATGGGATGGGATGGGATGGGATGGGGGTGTCACTCACTGCCCCTACCTGACACCAAATGGGGTTTCTCATGCAGTCCAAGCAGCCTTCAAAGCTGGTCCTGGTCTGAAAAAGCAAATGAAGGTGATTCCTGCAGAGACATCCACCAGGTCTGTTGTCCCTGTGAAGGATGAGAGTCCTTAGCCCCCTCCAGCTGGCTCTGAGGGGGGGCATTTTAACAGAGAAAGCTTTCATGTGCAAACAACATCTCCCTGATTGAACCCAGTGAGTAACCTAATGGTACCCGTGCTTTAGAAAGCCTGGCTCTAGAGCATCCACAGATCCCATCGTCAGTGCTTCTAGCTGCCCCCATTTCCCACCCACCAACTGATACTGGGATGAAGCACATTTCCCAAAGAATGGATAAATGCCCCTGGGACAGGAGGGGCTGCAGACACAGAACCCTTACGTGGTTCCACAGGGGTTTGCTGGCAAGCTTTAGGACAGGAAAGCCGTGTCCATGCAGGATAAGGCTGTGAAATGGGATCAGTTCGGGTTCAGACCTTGCTGCCGGGGTGGCGCTGGGTGCCTGGGGATGCAGCCCTGAGTTTCCCACAGCAGCGCTGCTGCACCCAGCGCTGCTCCAGGGTTTTCCAGGTGGTTTCTGTCACTTCGGTGTTTGGCAAGAGGTTTGGAGCGTTAAGAGCTCCCTACCTGGGAGCCCAGCTGGAGCCTGAGCTGGCCCCATCCCCTCCAGCCTCATCTCTCCATCAGCGCCTTCCAGATTGTCTCGTTCAAGTGTGTGAGCTCCCAATCAAGGCACTTGTTTAATTGCGATGGGTTTGGCAGCCTGGGGAGCTCCATCAGCCCTGCTGCGGGTGAGAAGCCTCTTCTCTGGAGAGGCAGCTTTGGTTGCAGCGTTGGGGGGGTCACCAGGATGGACCCCCCCACCCTGGGCAGTGGGTTTGACCTGAAGCCCAATACTGGAAGGGATGGATCCTGCCCTGAAACTGAAACACTCGGGGCTCAGTTGTCATCTCCATCATCCCCATCCCCCCCATCATGCCCATCCCCCCAGTCATCTTCACCATCCCCATCACCCCAGTCATCCCCATCACCCCACCATCCCCATCCCCCCCCCATCATCCCCATCTCCCCAGTCATCTTCACCATCCCCATCACCCCAGTCATCCCCATCACCCCAGTTATCCCCATCATCCCAGTCATCCCTATTACTCCAGTCATCTTCACCATCCCCATCACCCCAGTTATCCCCATTATCCCCATCACCCCATCATCCCCATCTCCCCAGTTATCCCCCTTATCCCCATCACCCCCCTCATCCCCATCATCCCAGTCATCCCTATTACTCCAGTCATCTTTATCATCCCCATCATCCCCATCACCCCATCACCCCCATCACCCCAGTTATCCCCGTCACCCGTTATCCCCGTCATCCCAGTCATCCCTATTACTCCAGTCATCTTTACCATCTCCATCACCCCAGTTTCCCATCACCATCACCCCATCATCCCCATCTCCCCAGTTATCCCCCATCCCATCATCCCCCTCATCCCCCATCCCAGTCATACTCCAGTCATCTTTATCATCCCCATCATCCCCATCACCCCATCATCCCCATTACCCCAGTTATCCCCATCACCCCAGTTAACCCCGTCATCCCAGTCATCCCTATTACTCCAGTCATCTTTACCATCCTCATCACCCCAGTTATCCCCATTATCCCCATCACCCCATCATCCCCATCTCCCCAGTTATCCCCCTCATCCTCATCACCCCCTCATCCCCATCATCTCAGTCATCCCTATTACTTCAGTTATCTTTACCATCCCCATCACCCCAGTTATCCCCATCACCCCCATCATCCCCATCACCCCAGTCATCCCCATTCCTGCTTTTCCCCCACCAGCACAGCTTGGGGAGGGGGATCCAGCCCTGTCCCCCCACTGCTGGCACATCTGGCTGGGGCTGGAGAAGCCAAACCCGCCCTGCAGAGCACAGTGTGAATAACTGATGTTTCCCCCACTGTACTCACAAAGCAGAGATCAAAGAAGTGTGAATCTACCCAAAATGACTAGCTTTTCATCTAGGCGAGGCAAAACCTGGCAATAAGACCAAAGAGAAGAGAAAATAACACAGGAGAGAAATGAAAATGACACCAGAGAGAAGTGAAAAGGACTTTCCAAGGAAAAGACATTCTTAAACCTTTTTTTAATGCCATATTTCAAAATAAAATCAAGTTGAACTCTAATATTCCCACCCTTGGGCAAGGGGCTGCCATTTGCAGCCAGGACGAATGAGAAGGGATCTGGGTGCTGCTCTTCCAGTGAGGAATAGGTTTTGCAGCCCCTGTGCTACCATCAGTGTAACCCAAAGAGTCTCCATCCTCTGATGGAGGAAAGGCTAAAAGGAAGGGGGTGGGTGGTACCACCAAGCCTAGGAACATCTTCCCTACATCAGCCTGCTCTCCTGGTCTCTGGCCGGGGCAGCAGAACAGCAACCATCCGAGATAGGAGCTCCTCACCCCAGTTTCCTCCATGCACCCCATCACACGCTAGGGTTCTTCCATGAGCTGCATCAATCATCCCCTCATCCAGCAACCAAGGGGTTGTCTCCTCTCTGCCTTCGCTCTGGGGATGCTCCAGGCAGGTTTACCCAGGCATGGAGATGCCTGTGTTCAAACTGACACTTCTGTTGCTTAATTAGGGAGCATCTAAATGAGCCTGGGGCTGTGGAGGCCGCTCTGAACAGCAAGAACTTGCTGGAAGGGAGCACAAGGGAAGGGTTTGAGCTGCCCCATTCCCAACATGCTGCCCCCAAACCCCTCTCAGCAGCAGGGATGCGCATCCACTTCCAACCAGGCACGACATTCAAAGCATCACCTAGAACAGGACTGGGTGCTCTGAGGACACAGACCCATGCCCAGCAGCCCTGGTCCTCACCAAAACCGCCTCATCCCTTCAGGAAGGGTTTTGGCACTCAGACCTGGGTGCTCCTCTCACCACGATGTGACAGGGAGCAGAACCAGTGTGCTCCATGCCATGGCCAAGGCAGGCAGGCTCTGCAGCAATAGCCTGGCTAATTGTGATGCTTCCAGATGGCTTCTTTCCGGGTGTAATCCATCCAGTTTCTGCAAGTCAACTCGACAGGGAAGCAGGGGAGAGAATCAGGATTTACTGCCTGGAAAATCAGATAAAGGGTATTTTGGGAGGTAAAGGACATTGTGCAGCTCCCGCACGGAAACGGGGTGAATTGATGTCATTGGAGAAGTGACTTCTCTGAAATGAATTCAGATTGCCTTTGAATAAAGGCAATGATGGGGGCTTGGAGCAAGCTGCTCTGGTGGAAGGTGCCCCTGCCTGTAGCAGGGGTTAGAGCTTTAAGGTCCCTTCCAACCCAAACCATCCATGAGCGTATCGGTGCTGCAGGAGGGCACATCACCACCTCACTAAGGGTGATGGCACCTCGAAAGCAGCCAGCAGAGCCAGGCTGTGCCCGCTCCTCATCACACTGAGTGTGCACACACACCCTTGGGCACGGTGATCCCGCTCTATGCTTCTCTGCCACCCCCAGGTACACCAAGATGAAGACAGCCACCAACATCTACATCTTCAACTTGGCCCTGGCAGATGCACTGGCCACCAGCACCCTGCCCTTCCAGAGCGCCAAGTACCTGATGGAGACCTGGCCCTTTGGGAAGCTGCTCTGCAAAGTCGTGCTCTCCATTGACTACTACAACATGTTCACCAGCATCTTCACCCTCACCATGATGAGTGTGGACCGCTATGTTGCTGTGTGCCACCCGGTCAAGGCCTTGGATTTCCACACGCCAGCCAAAGCCAAGATCATCAACGTCTGCATCTGGGTGCTCTCCTCCCTCATCGGGGTGCCCATCATGGTCATGGCTGTCACCAAGTCAAAAGGCAAGTGGCTTCTGGGGCAAGCTCCCCTCTTGTCCCATCTGTCCATCCCAAGTGTGACCTATCAAACCCAAGCAACCTGGCCTTGTAGCAGGTTTGATGGACACCCCTTCATGGGACCATAACCCATGGAAAACGGCATGGTTTTATTGTCCATCTTAGCTGCAGAGGTTGGAAACTGCCCCAGAAATTGTCCTACCCCTTCCCCATCTCCAGTGCAACCAATGCCTCTCCCCAGCTCCTGCGGTGCAAATCAGGTGCCTAAACCCATCTCCAGTGTTATTGCCAAGTCCCCAGCCTGGCCTATGCTGAGATCCTGTGTGAAGACACCAGGGGCTAGGAGAGACCCCCTTGGCTGCTAGGAAAGACCTCATAGCAGCTTCCAGTATCTGAAGGGGGCCTATAGGGGTGCTGGGGAGGGGCTCTTCATTAGGGACTGTAGTGATAGGACAAGGGGTAACGGGTTCAAACTGAAACAGGGGAAGTTTAGATTGGATCTAAGGAGGAAGTTCTTTCCTGTTAGGGTGGTGAGGCACTGGAATGGGTGCCCAAGGAGGTTGTGAATGCTCCATCCCTGGCAGTGTTCAAGGCCAGGTTGGACAGAGTCTTGGGTACCATGGTTTAGTGTGAGGTGTCCCTGCCCATGGCAGGGGGTTGGAACTGGATGATCTGAAGGTCCTTTCCAACCTGAACTATTCTATGATTCTATGAAAGCTCTGGGCAGACCCGTTTCAGTGGATGGTACGATGGGGACACGTCCACCACAGGGGCTGGGAGAAGCCAGTTTGGGGATGGCCCAGGAAACCCTGCAGGGAACAAGTCCCTGGGTCACTGCACCCACTGCATCCCCTTGGCACCAAGGTCCTGGGTACCTCTGCAGTGTATGACAGGCATGGGCAATGCCCAGCCATGACTGAGCAGAAAGCAAACCAGACACTCCTTTGATCGCTCTCTCCCCCACAGACGGAATGGTGCTGTGCACGCTCCAGTTTCCCGACCCTCCCATCTACTGGGACACCATGACCAAGATCTGCGTCTTCATCTTTGCCTTCATGGTCCCCATCTTGGTCATCACCATCTGCTACGGGCTGATGATCCTGCGCCTGAAGAGCGTCCGCCTCCTTTCGGGCTCCAAGGAGAAGGACCGCAACCTGCGGCGCATCACGCGCATGGTGCTGGTGGTGGTGGCCGCCTTCATCATCTGCTGGACGCCCATCCACATCTTCGTCATCGTCTGGACGCTGGTGGACATCGACAAGAAGAATCCCTACGTGGTGGCCAGCCTGCACTTCTGCATCGCCCTGGGTTACACCAACAGCAGCCTCAACCCCGTCCTTTACGCTTTCCTGGATGAGAACTTCAAGAGGTGCTTCCGAGAGTTCTGCCTGCCTTTCCGAGCCCGCCTGGAGCAGAGCAGCTTCTCCCGGGCCAGGAACAGCACGCGGGAGCGCGTCTCCACGTGCACCCCTTCGGAAGCCCGCCCCAAGCCGGCATGACTAGGCGTGGGCAGCCTCCAGCGGGGCTGCCGGGGCCACGGGGGGGATGACCTGCGCTCGGAAGTCACCCAGGTCACCACCACGGAGCTGTAGCAGAGCGGTGCCCGGGCCCTGCGGGGGCTTCAGGCTCACAGCGAGGGCGAGTGACTGGAAAGGGTTTCTCCATCCCGGAGAAGCAGGGACGAGGGGGGCAGGACTCACAGAGCGATGGAGGGGAGCAGCAGGAGGCACAGCCCAGAGCTGCTCCCACCACTGCCAGGGACCGCGTGCCAGCCCCATACACACAACAAGGGTCCAAGGACACCATGGTTGAATGCCCATGGGTTTCTTCTCCTGCACGGCCCACAATGGCATCAAAGCCCATGGCAAGAGGGGAAACGCTCCCATGGCCGAAGGGAACTGTGCCAGCGGTGATGCCACATCATGAGGCCTCGCTCCATCCCCCTGGGTCCAAAAACCAACCAGAGACATGAGGAGAAAATGATGCCGCTTCAGAGACCCTTATCAAAGAGCTCCACATCCATAGGAAAACCGTTACTGGAGTTCTCCACATTGGGACTGTCCCCAGAGGACAGCTTTGTGCTGTTCATGTCATCACTGTATCATGTAGAGACCTCCGACTGCAGCCAGGGCAGCCCTGGATACAGATGTGATGCTGGGAACATGGATAAGGGCAGGGCACAAAGCAGGGCACACCTTGGCTGATGCCAGGTTCTCCATGCCCAGCATCCATTGGGATGACAGGGAACTGCTCCTCACCATCTGCCTCCAAAGCTGTTAAGGCTGAGGAAGATCTCATGAAGGGAGCAAGCTGAGGGGACGTGAGGAGGGCTGAAGGAATGAGGAAGGACCAACAGGACTCCCCTGCCCCTTGGGTGAGGGATGGACAACAGCACTGCCTGGGTCCCCTTTAGCAGGGCCAGAAGGGACAGGGTGTAGAAGATGGGGGGAAGCAACATCACCCTCATTCCATCACCCCCGAGCAGGGACAGAGGTCATGGAAGCACTGGGGCAGGACCCAGAGCCCACAAGGGGCAGAGGTTTAGGGGGGTTAGGCTCAGCACTTCCCTGGATGGAAGAGACAAGGCAGGAACTGGGGGAAAACCCCCAAGAAGGAGCCAAAGGTGTCGGGAAGGATGTGGAGACCTCCCATGAGCTCCCCACTTCCTCCCTCAGCAGCACCAGGCTGCACCGCAGCTGCAGGTCTCCATTTAAATCCCTGATTCCTGTCATTCTGATTCCTGATGTGATGGCCCCACATCATTGATGTGACCCCCTCAGTGTCCCCCGGGAATACCGACCCCAAATCAAGGCTGGGAAAGCAATGTCTGCAAGCACAGCAACGGAGGTGCCGAGAGACACTGGGGGCCAGGGAGAGGTGAACCCCATCACCCATGGATCGGGCATCCCGCTTGGGGGGCACTCTGTATGCCTGCGTGTGTATATACCTGTATATCTGTAGCTGTCTGAATTGAAGTGATGCCAGGTCACCCCCTGTGTGTGATGGAGCTTGGGATCCCCCAGGTCCCCGGCACAGCGGGGACCTCACCAAGTGCTTCGGCCAATATTCCCAGCTCCAGCCCTTGTGATTTTGGGTTTTCGGTGTCATTTCTGCCCAGGAACTGTGCTTCCTACAGCAAGAAGTCAATAAAACCAGAGCTAGCGAGCACCTTCCAGCTCTCCTTTGACCCCGGGGAGCTGGGAATGAGCAGGGCCCACCCAGGCTGGTGTTTTGGGGAGTGATGGGAGAGGAGCTACCTCTCGATTCACGCTTTGGACTGGGAAAACCCAGCCCCACGGAAGCCAGAGCCCCTCAGGCCGAGGTTAGTTTGCAAGCCCCGGTATCCAGGAGCCTTTGCACCACCCCATGGGCACTGGAGGGGCGATGCAGTTGTATTCTCATGGCCCAGCAGCTCCAGCTGTGGCTCCGATGATGCTTGTGATGAGGGGTTAGTGAGGATGCAGCAGGAATGGCGCTGGGGCCGGTACCACTGCTCCTCATGCACAACACTTGGGAGTTTAAGGTATTTATTCCATACTAACCTACACCCAGGGACCATTTCACAGCCTGGCACCACGTTTGCTCTTACACCGAGGGTTCTTGCCCTTCTCTTTCCAATGAATCCACCCCAGCATCGCAGGCTCCATCCCTACACGTGTGCTGGGCTCGGAAGCTGCGTGCTCCGTTGTCTGCTCGGCAGGGTTCGGCTGACTTTGTACCTGCGTTATTGTGCACAGGGACATGAAGGCAGCGGCTTTCCTGGTGAGAGCTCCCAGCAGCCAGGGCTGGGTTCAGGCTCTCAGCACTGAGGAGCTGCTGCTTGGCTTGGAACTGCTCATGGAAGAGGGAAAACCCAACACCAGGAATCATTTCCAGGCCTAAATTCCTCCAAATGGGACCGGGGAGGGAGCGTGCAGAGCCAGGACCCCGAGGATCCTGCCCCCCAAGGGATGTCCTGAGAAGTTTTCCTTATTTTTGGCCTTTTGGAAGATACTGGCCCAGATTCCCAGCCTAATGACAGGAATTTGGATGGCGCCTGGAGCAGGCTGCTCTATGGAAGGGGTTCCTGCCCGGGGCAGGGGTTGGAGCTGGAGGAGCTTTAAGGTCCCTTCCAACCCAAACTGGGCTGGGATTTTACAGCTACCAACTCAGCATCCCCAAACCCTCTGGAAGATGCAATTCCCTCCCAGCACATCCCTCAGGAGCAGTGCAGACATAGATTTTCTTTGCATCCCCACTCCCATCACACCAAACGCTCTCATTCCAGAGACAACAGAGCCTCCCAACACCAGGGCTCGTCCTCTGTAGATGCAAAAAGCCCCAGATCCCACATTCCCATCTTTTGTCTCTAAATTAAAAGCCTTTTAGGCACTTCCAATAGCAACAGATGGGGACCAGGAATGCAGGATTGGAGCCGCTGATCAAAGACCCCCCGGGCAATGACAAAGGGTCTGGTGATGGAGAACCTCAGCTGTGCACCAAGGGCCGCCCCCAACCCCACCACAGGACCCCAATCCCTCCTCCTCACCCCCAAACCCCCCCACCTCGCTCTGCTGGTGCAGAACCCCATTAATGAGACGCTTCCCTTTCCTCAATTAAGCTGTTTTCCTTCAGCCACCCTCTCCCCCCCGTGCGGGGGCTCATCCTTCCCCCAATTCCCAGCAACTTCCCATTGAAGTGTCACTCCAGCTCCGAGACAATGACAGCTGATTCATCAGCTCCAACCCTATTGAGTCCCAACCCTATTGTTCTCCCCAGCCCCTTTTTTATCTCTTCTTTCCTGAAAATACCAGCTCCCAAGGGGATGCTTTCCCCTTCCCAGGAGCAGCCCCTCAAGGATGGGTGAATGGGAACGATCCCTGCAGGAGATGGAGGAGGGACCTGCATCAGCTCCCGGTAGGATCCAGCGCTGGGGTGACCATGCAGGATGGTACCAGCAGGTCCATCCATCCTTACTGCCCACACCGGGGGGATGGATGCAAAAGGGATGAGGAGCAGTGGTAGCACTGGGATGGGGACTCCTGGCTCACAGCAGCTCTTGTCAGCATTGCCCCAGTGCCGGAGGAGCCCCACATCCCCCTTGATCAAGTCTCTCTCTGTGTTTCTTAGCTATAAATAGGTTGGTGAGGTTCAAAGACACACGAAAAGCAGCAGAACTCTGCAAAGCCAACTGCATTGCAGTGGCATTGATGGGAAAAGGGGGGCAAAGCAACCCAGGGTGGGTTTTTTTTCCCCTGGAAGGGATAGGAAAACACCAGTGCTGGTTTTGGAAACGACATTCCCAGTTTGTTGCTGGGAATCAAGCGCAGGACAACGAGCAACTTCCCGATCAGGTAGCCAGCACCAGCAGGTCACTTTTGGTAGCAGAGCATCAAACAGAGGGTGATGGTCCCTGGAGAGCAGCATTAGCCGTGATATTAAGTGATGGCAAACTCCAGGCTCCATCCTTGGCATTAAAACACTTCCCATGGGCCCACACCCCAGCTTCATTCTTACATGGGAAAAGAAGAGAGCCCTTTGGAGTCCAGCACTGCAGCCACCAAACACAAACCTGGCCTTTTGTGGTGGGAGAGGTGGTGCTGGAAGCCCAGAGACAGCGGGGATGGGCCCTCAAACAGGGAGGGTGATGGGGACAAGCACAGAACCACAGAATCAACCAGGCTGGAAAAGCCCTTTCAAGCTCACCCAGTCCAACCCTTACCCCAGCCCTGCCAAGGCCACCACTGCCCCATGGCACCGAGGCCTCGTCTCCACGCTGTGTGAGCACTTGCAGGGCCGGTGCCTGCAGCCCTGCCCTGGGCAGCCTGTTCCAATGCCTGAGCACCCTCTGGGGCAGGAATTGTTCCTCAGCTCCATCTAACCCTGCCCTGGTGCAGCTTGAGGCCGGTTCCTCTTCTCCCATCCCTGGTTCCTTGGGAGCAGAGCCCAGCCCCTCCTGGCTCCATCCTCCTGTCAGGCAGTTGGAGGCAGCCATCAGGTCCCCCCTGAGCCTTCTCTGCTCCATCTGAACCCCCCAGGTCCCTCAGCCCTTCCCCATCACCCCTGTGCTCCAGGCCCTGCACCAGCCCCATTGCCCTTCTCTGGCCCCGCTCCAGCTCCTCAATGTCTCTCCCAGAGCTGAACACAGCATTCAAGGTGCAGCCTCACCGGTGCCCAGCGCACGGGGACAATCCCTGCCCTGCTCCTGCAGGCAGGGACCATCCCCTCTCCCTGCCCCTTCTCCCAGGGCAGCGATCCGGATCCCCATCACCTTCTCCTGCTGCCATCCCGCGGCCGTGTCCCACCAGTGCACACCCGTGCTCAGCACCACCCACAGGGTGGCCCTAGCACCCCTCCAAGGCACAGGGAGCCCCAGGTTTATTAAAACTGTTTATTCCAAACGTTAAAAGATAACATTTTCTTTTCCCCTCTTTTCCTCAATCAACCAAAATACTTTTGCTTTACAAAACCCAACCTATTCTGAAGCACTGGGCAAGCCCCAGCTTCCTCCTATTGCTATAACTTAACATATAAGCAGAGCCCTCTTCTCAGTCCAGGTACCTGGAATGCAGCGTGGAAAGAGAAGATGGGGCAGGCCAGGCACAGGGAGCGAGACCAGCTGGATGGAGACTGGAGGCAGTGGGGAGGGAGCCCCGCTGTTTCAAGTGGCTCGATGTGCTTTGGTTGTCGTCTCAGCAAGGCCCTAACAGCAAATCCAGCTCCTTCCTCAGCAGAGGACAGAGGAAAACAAGTTAAAATACCCAAATCCCCACCCGTAGGATGGATTTTGTTGGGTTTCCAAAGGGAATGGGAAAGAGCGGGACTGCAAACAGCAGCGCTGGAGGCGGCTGCTCCAGGCAGCAGGGAGAGGGGAACCTGCTCCCAGCCTGGCTGCCTGGGGGTTGGCTCAGCTGTGTCAGTGGTGATGGGTGGGAGGCAGGAGTCCCGCTTCCCTCTTCCAGCAGGCACGGTGTACAGTGTGGATCGGGCATTGTCCGGCAGCATTCCCCCTCACAGGCTCCCAGACACCCAGCAGCGAGTCCCCACCGAGCACTGGTGTGAGATGAGAGCTCCCCTGGGCAAGGAGCTCCCCCCAGAATGAGCCCAGAGGGGTTCAGTGGGTGCCAGCAGACAAATCCGTGCTGGAGAGGTAAAAGATGTTTAGGTTATGGGCATGGAAGATGGGGACCCTGGAAAGCCTGATGCTCAAATCCTTCTGTGTAGTGAAGAACAAGGCCCTCAGCTTTGCCAGGCCAGGAAATGCTTCAAACACCAGACAAGAACTTGAAAACCCGTCCAGCCACAGCACTGAGATTGATTTAGGACCAAGCCAAGGCGGGGGAGCTGACAGAGCACTGGGCACCGTGGGAAGACAGACACACGCAGGGAGAAACCACGAGCATCCCTGAAGAGTCCTGCTCCAGCAGCCTCCTGCCCTCCCCACTGCCAGTGATGGGACACCAGAGCTGGAAACCGATCACCCATCCCGGGTGGAAGGTGGGGGGGGTGCAGGTCCTGCATCCCACTGGGCTCAGCCAAGCTGTCGCTTCATCAACTCTGCTCCTTGTCCTTGACCAGCAGCACAGTGTGCTGCCCACCGCTGGACACTGCCAGCACCGTGCGGTTCTCCAGCTGCTTGCCCACCATCTCCACAGGGCTCCAGGCGTCCTCCTCCTCCCCTGTGCCCAGCTGGTGGTTGGTGCCCATGCCCCAGGCGAACGCTCGGCCTGCAACGGAGGTGATGCAAGTTTTGGCTTATGGGAAGGGACCAAGCAGCCAAACCCCAAGGGGACTCCAGACCCTGAGCTCAGTGATGGGTGCCAGAGATACAGCAGGGAGAAGAGAAGCAGCCCTTGCAACTCGGAGGTGTTTGATCACACAGAGCCAAGGCAAGGGGGGCAGGAAGGGTGGGGAAGCGCAGCATTCCCAAGCACTCACCATCACTGCTGACAGCGTAGCCGACAGAAGCTCCGCAGGCCACAGAGGAGATGCTGGGCAGCTCGGGGATGACTGTGGGTGTGCTCTTCTCCTCTGCCCCAGCCCCGAGGCCCAGGCGGCCGTACTCTGCCCTGCCCAGGCTGTAGGCTTTCCCTGGAGGACAGCACACACAGGAGGTGAGAAAGCAGCACGCAGCAGGACACAGCCCCTCAGTGTGAGTCAGGGAGGAGCATCACTGCTCCCAACCACAGCCTAGCTCCCAACCAGGAGGTGCAGAGGGGCACAGAGACCCTTGAGCCCTGCAGAATCAAGGGGGTGAACGCAGGCCTGGACACGCTATTGAGCCTGGGAGAGCAGCGTTCACAAGAGACTCCCAGTTTCTTTCACCGTGCCCTTTGCTGCACGTTCACTGCACTGCTGCTGCCCTCAACACAGGACTGGGAGGGCTCCAGCAGGTCACTGTCAGCCCAACACGCCCTCAGCGGGGACGAGGGGCACCTCGATGGGTTCCCCCCATCCTGCTCTGCGTGACCCCAGCCTGCCCTCCAGCCAGCACTCACCCTCTGAGTCCACGCACACTGTGTGGTGCTGCCCTCCAGAGAACCCGACCCAGGACTTGGTGGAGTTCTTGAAGCACGTCAGGTTCTGCGGGGAGAAGCAGGGCTCGGTGCCCTGGGTGCCTGCAGGGTGGGACACACGAACCCAGGCACGTCAGATGCACAGGCATGGTCAGGCCAGGCCAGGCACCAGCACTGAGCCATTCACCCCACCACATCCATCAGTGCTCAACCCCACTGGGTGCAGGGACTGGGACCTAAACCCAAAGCTCTGCACCCCGATTTCCCAGCTCTGGTGTGTCCAGTGGGTGCTTGGTGTTCAGGAACTGGGACATCCAGCAGTGTTGTGTCCCACGTCCCCCTCCCCAGGCCAGGGCAGCAAGGACTGGGAAGACCCCATCCAGACCAAAGCAAGCAGATCTGGAGGGATGGAAGCAAAGCTCACCAAGCTGATGGTAGTTAGAGAGGCCGAATCCATAGATGTGTCCCTCCTCTGTGATGGCAAAAGTGAAGTAAGCCCCACAAAAGGCATCCTGGAAACGCAATTTGCCTCTGTTGCCTTTGCCTCTGACAGGGACGCGCTGGGGGACCAGCAACCGCTCTGAGGGCAGAAGACACAGTGTCATGGCAGGACTAATGATTTACACTCTTCTCCTCCCACTCAAATCCAGCTCTCTGAACTCAGTTTACACAGAAGCCCCTGAGTGAGAAGGTTTTCCTTTAAGGGGAAGGGACTGGGGCTCGTTGCTCCTCTGCAAAGCACAGAGCTGGGACCAAAGGATGCAGCACTGGGTGCCACCAAGCACTGAAGTAACTCACGTAGACCTCTCCTTCCTCCTCGGTTGGCAAAGAGCTCTGGCACTCTCCCCAGCTGGCCCTGCTCGCCACAGCCACACGTGAAGAGGTCACCACCCACTGTCAGCATCACCAGGTGGTCATTCCCTGGGAAGAGAGGAGGGTGAGTGCTTTGAGCCTGCAGGGTCACAGGTCAGGGCACTCTTGTAAGGCACCTTACATCAGACTGGGTCAAATATTAACAATACCCTCAGGGGTGGAGGAGACACAATGTCCGTTCTCTCTCAAGAGCCAGAGAAGACAAACAGCCAAGAGGGAGGAAAGGGACATGGCACTTCTGGATCTTCACCTTCTCCTAAGGGTTGGAAAGGCCTCGTGCACCAGCGCGACCCACGCACACCCCAGGACCTTGCTCACCTGAGACAATTTTAATGACGGGTGCATTGAGCTGGAGCAGCACAGGGATGGAGCTGGTCTTCATGGGCTCCAGCAAGCCGATCACCCCGTTGTTATCCTGGGGGGAGACACGGATTGCAGGGACCTGAGTCACGGAAGCAGCGACCATGGGCAGAGCTTGCAGCGTGCAAGGCATCAACATACCCGGAAGGAGCCCCAGACGAAAACCCTGCCGTCCTCTGTCAGTGCGGCCGTGTGGCTGTCCCCTGCAGACACCTGCACCACCTTTTCCTGCAGCTCCACCAGCCCCGGCGTGGTCTCGGACCCTTCTGCAGAGGTGTCGCGCCCGAGGGCACCCTCATCATTGCAGCCAAAGGTGTAGATCTGCAGACAGAGAGTGAGCTGCTCAGGACAGCTCCCACAGGGGCAGGAGGGGACAGAGACCCAGCAGGCTGAGTTATCCTTTGGAGCCCCTAAAACGCTGTGGTCCGCAGCGTGGAAACCACGTTCATCCTGAGGGATGGTGTGAGCAACGCATCCGGGCAGAGCAGGCCGTTCCCTGCTCCCGAACACATCCCAGAACACGCCGCACTCACCTTCCCTGTCTGGCTGAGGCACACCGTGTGCATCCCCCCCGCTTCCGCCTGCACGATCATCTCCGGCAGGGACACCAGGGCTGGTTTCTTCCTCTCCATCACATCCTCTCCCAGGCCCAGCTGGCCAACATCGCCCTGCCCCAGCGTCAGCACCAGCCCGGGCTGCGTGCAGTGGGACGGGTGGCACACTGCGGGGACAGAAACGGTACAGACAGCACATGGAGGGGGGGGGGAACAACCCTGAGATCGCAGCTGGGAGCGGGGAGGGAGAACTCCCGGGGCTTCTCCTCACCTTTAATCCTCTTCCTCCCAGGAGCCTCCTCTTCCGGCGCCGGGCTCTTCTTGCTGGTGCGCTTCCCCGGCATGGTGCTGGGATCTGAGCACGGACACGCGCTGCTGTGGGGCACCATGGGGCGGACACCCCCCCTCATCCACCCCACCGTGAGGGTCTCAGCACCGACCTCTGCTCCCCATTGGGATAAAGGAGAACGGAGCCGGTCCCTAGCCCGCGGGGCCGCCGCAGCCGTTTGAATCGCCCGCGCCGCTACACGTGCGGCCGCGCAGGCCCGCGCTGGGCCCCCCCTCCCGCCCGCCCTGCCCGCAGCACCGAGAGCGGCCCCGGGCCTCGCCGGACCCCCCCGCTCCCGCCGCCGCCTCCTCCTCTCCGCCGCTTCCCCCCCGCTCCAGCCCCGGGCCGGGCCCCGCCGCGCTCCCACCTCCGCTCCGCCGCCACCGGGGCCAAGCGAGTCCGCACTGCGCATGCGCGCAACGGCCCGGAGCGAGGCACAGCGCTGGGCCAGGCACGGCGCCGGGCCAGGCACGGCGCCCCCTGCCGGCAGGAGGACTCGGCACCGCGAGCGCCGCCAGCGAGGACGGAAGGGAAGGGAAGGGATTAGGACGTGCAGTGAGGGAAGGGAAGGGATGCGAAGGGAAGGGAAGGGGTCAGGACATGCAGTGAGGGATGGGGGGCACCAGCGGGGAAAGGTGAAGGCTTTAATACATAGATTAACTTACTGGTGCCCGCTCCCAGCTGTCCCGTAGCACAGCGCATCCAGCCCCTGCTCCCACAGCCGAGGAGCCAGGACAGAAACTGCTGCTGGGGCTCTTCTACCTGCGGTGCTCTCCGCCACCTTGTTCATCCGGCCCAGCCGTGTTGCTGGGGTTGCAGGCTTAATCTCCATGGTGGTGCCTTAAATCAGGTTTAGGCTTAGGGCTGGGGTTCAGAGATCCACAAAGCCTACAGCCCCAGGGGCACTAGGGCTGTGAAAGGCATGCCAACGGGAGCATTGAACAGCACCAACTTTACTCCTTCCCCAGCTTTCCCAAATAGCCCAGGGATAGTGCAGGGCCATGTAGACCTCATCTCCATGGTGGTGGCTTAAATGTGGGTTAGGCTAAGGGTTAGGGTTCAGAGATCCACAAGCCTATAGCCCCAGTGACAACCACTGTGCTGGGAAAGCAGGCCTCATTTCTATGGTAAAAGAAAGCTGGTGCTGGATATGTTCTACACGCGGTGAGCTCCGCAACGGTGCCACCAGCATTGCTCTTGCTCCTCCCTTTCCCACCTAAACCTGAAACTCCATCTGTGCGCTGCCTGTCTGGTACCCGCTCCCGGGCATCCTGCAGCACAGCTCACAGAGTGCAGATGTCCAGCCCTTGCTCTTACAGTTGAAGAGCCAGGAGGGGAAGCTGCTGCTGGGCATCTTCTACCTGCGGTGAGCTCCGTAATGATTCCACAAGCATTGCTCTCCTCATTTTGATGCTTAAATCTCCTTCTGCGTACTGCCTGTAATGTCTTTTGCCTGCCCTTGGGTGTCCTGAAGCACAGCTCCCAGAGTGCAAACATCCAACCCCTGCTCCCACAGCCAAAGAGTCAGGAGGGAAAGCTGCTGCTGGGTCTCTCCTGCACACGGTGAGCTCTGCAATGGTGCCACCCGCATTGCTGTTGCTCCTTGCTTTCCCACCCAAAACTCCATCTGTGTACTTCCTCTAGTCCCCATTCCTGGGTATCCTAGAGCAGTTCACAGAGCACACATGTCCAGCCCCTGCTCCCACAGCTGAAGAGCCAGGAGGGAGAGCTGATGCTGGGCATCTTCTACGCACAGTGATCTCCGCAACGGTGTGTCATTGCTGTCGCTCCTCCTTTACCCACCTAAAGCTAAACCTCCATCTCTGTACTGCCTTTCCTCTCTGGTGCCTGCTATCGGGTGTCATGGAGCACACCTCACACAGTTTAAATGCCCAGCCTCTGCTCCCTCAGCCAAAACCCCAGGACATAAAGCTGGTGCTTAGCGTTACCTACACAGAGCGAGCTCGCTTTGTCATTCAGAAGCGCATCCTTCTGCTGTCTCTATGGTGCCTGCTTTTGGGCTACCTGCACTGTGGATGTAGCTCTGGGGAAAACGCTGCTGGTCCTGCTCTATTGAAGAATCATTTCATCTCTTTGACCCTTTCTGTGTTACAGACATCAGACCAACAAGAAAACATGGCTCATCCTGCCCCTTTTATCCCAGCTGGTGGTTCAGCACACCCCTGCCCCGGGGCATTGAGGGAGGGGTTGGGGGTGTTGACTGGGGTATGTAAGGCACGGTGTTTCCCTGTGAGCTCATTCAGGTCTATGGGGTTCAGCCAGGTCACTTATCTGGTGTGTGTATTGTAATTTTTGTGATGTTTTGGGATGTTGTGCTTTGTTATTTACCTAAATGGAATCGGCTGATTGAATAGCTTCAGGACATGTCAAGCTTTACCAATCTATGTGTTAATAAGTATTTCTGCAAAGTTTTCTTTTCTAAGGTATTGTATTTATAGGAGCTCTTTAGCTTTCTTACTATGGTTTATTAGTATGTTCCATTCTATTTATTATCAGGTGCTGAATGTTTTTTCACCAAAACCAGAGTTTTGAGTGATTTTCTGCTGCTTTTGTTCTGTACTGGATTGTTTATTCACTGTTAAGAGAACCAAAGTAGAGCAGTGACAGAAAGGCGAAACCAGGAGTCAGTTGTCAGGTGTTGGTAGTCTGGTGAAGGAAGAAGCACGCCTGGTTGGTTGTGCTCATCACCTCCACACAGGGATCCCATGAACATCCCCACCAAGCTGGCAATCGGTCCGTGTTTCGTTCCTAAAACCCTCTCTGTGCTTCTTCCCTGTAAGCCACAGGCAGGTGCCCTGGAGCACAGCTCACGGAGTGCAAACGGCCAGGCCCTACCCCTAGGCCCGAGGTGGCAGTACAAGAAGCTGCTGCTGGTTAGCCCTTACAACCGAACACCCCCAGACGGGCGCCATCGACAAGGCAGCCCCCTAAAGCCCCGTTTCTACACTGCGCTTGTGTTGAGTGCTCTCAAGTGCCCCGGAGCACACAGCGCAGATCGCTCCAGAGCCGAGGAGCCAGGGCAGGAAGCTGGTGCTGGGCATCCCCTCCCCAACGGTGCCACCGGCACGGCAATGAAACCCGGGCGGGCGAAACCGGTGTGCGCCGTGGCCCAGGCCGGCCGCGAGGGGGCAGCAGCCAGCAGGCAGGAGGCCGCATTGCCGCGCAGCGCCCCCGGCGCCATGGTAGCGAAGCAAGGTCGGCGCCGTTGCTTCCGTGACAATGTCGCGACTTATTTTCCGTCGCAACGACGCCGCCGCTGTTACCGAGGCAACGACACCGGCACTGTTAACGAGGCGACGCCGCCGCCATTGTTACCGAGGCATGTCGCCGCTATTGCTACTGCGGGAACGTTCCCCGTCGTAATTACAATGGCAATGTCGCTGCCATTGGTACCGAGGCATGTCGCCGCTATTGCTACTGCGGGAACGTCCCCGTCGTAATTACAATGGCAATGTCGCCGCCATTGTTACCGAGGCAACGTCACGGCTGTTGTTAAAGAGACCGCGTCGCCAACGTAGTTACTGTGGCAACGTCGCCGCCATAACTACCAAGGCACGTTGCCGCCGCTGTTACCGAGGCAACGTTGACGCCATTGTTACCGAGGCATGTCGCTGCCGTTGCTAACGGAGCAACGTCGCCGCCATTGTTACCGTGGCAATATCGCCGCCACTGTTACCGAGGCAAGGCTGCCGACGTAATTAGCGAGGCATGTCGCCGCCATTGTTATCGAGGCGATGGTGCCGACAGCAGCTGCCGAGGCAGCTTGGGCGCCATAATTAGCGAGGCGAAGTCGCCGCCATTGCTACCGAGGCTGGTTTTCCGCAGGTATCGGTGCCGCCGAAGTTATCGCAGTCACCGTGGCAAGGCGCCGCCATGGGTACGGAGCAACATCCCCGTCGTGGTTAACGAGGCAGCGGCGGCTCTGCACGTCCTGCGGGCACCGCTCCCGGAGCGCAGCGGCGCTGCTCTGCTGTGCTTGCCCCTGTCCCGGTGGGGCCGTGCCCTGGGAGCTGTCCTGCGGGGGAAGCGCCTCTGCTCGCCCCTGTGTGCTGAGGGGGGTGAGGGAGGAAACGGTTCCTGCCGATCGGGTTTGAACCAGGCGCGTTGGGCTAAACGGGCTGACGGTTCCTGCAGGCTTTGTGACTCAGTGCTGGTGTGGGTTTGAGCAGGGAGCTGTGAGGCAGAAGGGCCAGGGTGTGACTCGGCAGGCATGCCTAGATGTGTTTTATTGACACAAGGTTTGGCCACCAGCTGCTATGAAGCTGCTTCAGCACAAGCCCTTTAAACCCCCCTGGGCCATAAGGCTCAGGGCTTTGGTAGGTGTTCCTCAGTCAGCTCTGTGTCCATCCATGTGTGTTTACTCTTGGGGCTGAGCCTGTTGTGTTCTGTGTGCACACATACACAGAGGTGCGTGCTGTGGTCATGCACAGCAGATACGTGCTCAGAGACACTCCTGAGTGTGGGACTGGCCGCTGCAGTGCAGAGGAGCAAAATCTCATTCTGGGGATGATCCAGCTCAGATCCTGTTGGGCACTCACCTACTTACATGTACACACCTACAGCTTATAGAGAAAGTATCTTCATGTCCTGCCTCTGCTTTATTTAACAACAAACTTGCAAGGAGCTTTAAGCAGTTACAGTCCATAGACTGCATGCTTTGTATTATCATTAATGACTCAGGAGAGATTCAACTATCCCCTTGGTAGGTCACTGCTGTGGATTTCCTGAGCTTGATTTGATTGAGAAAATGGATTCCTCTGCCAGACAGAATAAAGGATATTGCAAACGTTACTGTACACTTAATACTTCTGTGCAGAATTGTAACAAAATACAAACTCAGTGCATTCCCCACGCATGGAAAAACCCAGGTAGACTGTTACCCCAGTTAATGTTTGCCTCAGATGGAAACATCTGACTAGTTTTAGGTGTGTCACAGGACTCTTAGTAACCCCAAGGTGTTTACTTTTTATGGCTCAAAGTCATGTACCAGGGGAAGCTTGTCACCTGTGGAATAAAATTGGGGCAATGGTTCACTGTTGACATAATGAACAATTCATCGGTGCTGCTCACTTCCTGCAGCACCCACCAGTGGGTAGTTCCACTAAAATGCTCTGGCATGGAGATGTGCATGGGTAGAGCTGTGTCAATCACAGCTGGAAGCATTTCACTTTGGGGCTAGTGAAGCTCTGGGGACTTTGTCTTCACTGGAGTGCCTGTGGAAACTGCTAGTTGTTGCAGGTCCAGCACAGATGGAGCTAGTTCCTCAGGTTGGTGTTAACACTTGCTTTAGGAAAGAATGGAGATGTAGTGTGAAAAACAGTAGTAGCTCAGGAAAACCTGGAGTTGTTGGCACTGTGGCAGCACAAGGTGGGGGACTGAGGAGGATTTCAGCAGTGTAGATCCTAGTGATGAAACTGGCTCCCTGAGAATGTGAGGAAACTGCAGTTATTGCAGTCAGCTGCAGATTACCTGGAGGAAGCAGAATAACCCAACCTGAGCAGGCACTTGCGTAACAGAAACACGTACACTAGCTTATAGGAACACGTAGCAAAGGTGTAGTGGAGCTGAGGTCACTGAGGCTGTGTTGCCATGTGCCAGTGCCCAGCACAGTCAGGGTGGAGGTGCTCCCCTGTTCAAGCACGTGTTTGAGGGGCACAGCCTCTTGGACCTCGTCTCCAGCAGATGAAGGACTGCATGGCGTGAAGGCTGGGATGAGCTGCTCCTTGGAGGCATCTTCTGCAGCCCGGACAGCGCCCATCAGTACCTCAGATGGATATAGGGCCATATGCTCTGGGTCAAGAAGTCTTGTGTTGAGGCCGTTGAAAAGAAAGAGGGCTTAAAAATCACATTTGAGGGATGGAAGTGGCTTCTATGAAAGGGGTCTCAGATCTTGATGAGAAGGGGTCAACACTGAACACTGGGACTAAGTCTGTGCTGTGGCTTCAGGCCATGGCAGCCACCTGAGTGCTGCTGTGCATGCCAGGGTTACTTGCAGCTCTGGGAGGATCCATCTCCTTTGCCTCCAGGAGAGGAAACCTGCCCAAGGCTTTAGCTGTTGAAGTACAGAGGAGCATGGGTAACTTTCCCTTTGCTTCCAATGCAGGCATTGTGGAGTTAGGATATTCTGAACTGCCTGTCCCTTGGTTTAAAACATCCCCCCCCGGTGTTCCTGGATTTGAACTCAAAATGACACAATTTATCGTAGCATTCAGCTGTTTCCCTGGTGTCCCATTGGAACAGCCTGCACGGATACAGGGTTGGTTTATCACTGACATCTTTAGCTCCCCTCTGGCCAAATGTGTCAGCCTGGGCCTAAACCCGGCTGTGAAAGGCAAGATGTTTTGTGAAAGAGCAAAGAGAAGTCAGGAAAACCTACACGGCCTTGTGTCATCCTCAGTTTGAATTGCAAGTATGAGGCTGTTCTGCTCCATGGATGTGAGAGCACATTGGCAGCCAGTTAAATGCTGTTTCGAAGCCTCAGTGACATGTCCTGAAGTAAGAACATCTGCACACTGAGCTGGTCTTTAAGGTCCCTTCCAAGCGAAACCATTCTATAGGATAACGTTTTAGCAGATATAAATACACCGAAAGAGCCAAAGCAAAAAAATCTACTTTGTTTGAACGAGTGCATTTTCAAGGCTTAAATGGTTACAGCAGATACTGTTGTCTTGTGTCTAAAGGAAAGCTACCGTAAGGATCTTAGCCATAACACTGTACCGAGAAACACAGAGCAAAAGGAGGAAAACACATTAATCTCAGCGTGCTTTGCACAAACACATAATAAAGAATATGAACAAAGGTCTGGACTTGGTTATGTCAACACACCGTGTGTATTAAATCATACCAACATCGTGAAATAAACCTTTTAAAGATGCAGCTTCTCTCGGGAGCCCTTCCCTTTGCCCTGGTGGTGCCTGAAGAGCTGGGGCTGGGTCAGAGCCATCAGGGCCGTGTGCTGATCAGTCATTAAGTGAAGTAAGCGCAGCTCTGGGGTAACGAATTAACGCCATCAGCGCAGGTGCGGGGCTCGGGCCCGACACGCTCCATCTGCCGATGCGGGGGATCTCCGCGGGGCTGAGTCTGCTTTGTTCGGTGGCTCCCCGCTCCCGGGGACGCGCTTTCAGACCGGAGGGGCTCGGATTTGTTGTTGATTCTTTCACCCCTGAGAAGCCGCGAGCAGCAGCTGGCGCGGCCTTCCCCTACCCCTACTTTTTTGTTGTGCTAATTCCCGAGCCCGGTGGGTGGCAGCCGGCCGGCGGGGGCGCTGCCCGGGGCCCTCGGGCCATGACCGGCACCGGGACTCTTTGTCCGCCCCGGCCGCCCTCCGCTGAGGAGATTCAAACGGCGGCCCCGCCCGCCCAGTCTGCCCTGGCCCCTCCCAGCAACCGGCGGGACCCCGCTGGGATTGGCGGAGGCAGCATGCAGAGCGCTGCTATTGGCTGAGCGAGGCGGCTCAGGAAGCGGGGGAGGAGGGCTAGGGTGTTATACGCGTAGGGGAGCGGCCGCCATTTTGTGTAGGAGGGAGAGGGGCAGCAGTGTGTGATAGCAGGGCGGTCTGGGCTAAGCTTTGCTGCGGGGTGCCGGAGAGTGGCGGCGGAGGAGCTGCGGGTCCGGTTTCTGCAGGAACGCGAGTGTGTCTGTGCTTGTGGGCGAACGAAACAAACAGAAGTCGGTAAGGGAGGAGCAGTGCGGGCCGGGCCGGGCGCTGTCGCCGCCATGTTGTGCTCGCTGGGCGGCCCCATTGTTGGGGAAGCGGGGCCGGGCAGGACGGGGTCCCGGGGGCCGTAAGGGGCAGACTAAGGGGGGAAATCTTTAGACGAACAGATGGGAGCGGTAAGGGCCGCCCCGGTGGGGTAACGACGTTACCGCGGGCCTTGCTTGCGTCGCAACAAGGCAAAGGGTTTCGGAGAGCCGGGGGTGCTGTGGCTGAAGTGACAGCGGCTGGAGGAGGCGGAACCATCGGGGTGGCTTGAGTTCTCTAAGGAGAAAGCGAGGATGGGCCCTGGGCTGAGCAGGAAATCACTGCGAGCTGCTAGGAGTTACTGCGCTGAGGAAGGGGCAGAGGCAGCTGGGGGCGGGAGGGGGCAGGCGGCGGGAGCTCGGGGTGGGCCGTGCTCGGGGGCGATGCCCTCGGGGGTTCATCCCAAAGCGTTGTCCCTTGCGTTTGGCTGCTTCCTCCCCCAGACAGCTGAGGTTCTTGCTCGTCCGTTAACATCCTTCGGATGTGTACGGAGAGCATGAAAAGAATGCTCCTCTTTGTGATACACTAAGTATGATGGTGAAGTTTATACAGGTAGAGTAAGATAAATACTGCCGTGTGTTTTCAGTTTGAATTACCTTGTCATCTTTCACAAGTAAGAGACACAGCTGCCTATGGATTCTCTGAATTATTTCAGCTTTTTTGTTTCCCCATCGGATTCGAAAGCGAAAGAGTCTTCCTTAACCTGACCTCAAACTTCATTCTCGTTTATGCAGTGGGACTTCTCCCTTGGAGTGCCTGTGCCGAGAATCCGATGTTGGGCTCGGCTCCCTGGCTGAATACAGCGGATCAGCCCATGAACACTTCTGTCCCGAGCCAAAGGAAGGAGTCCAGCAAAAGGCAGCACCTCCGCTTTCAGGCTTGGAAGCAAGAAAGGGGGCAAGGCTTGGAGAGTGGGGAATCAGGGAAGACAACTGAAAGGTAAATGGGGGAGAGGAACGGTGCTGTAGGAGAGTCAAGAGGTGCCATGTACCCTGTGACAATATCTAGCTGTCTAAGATCCGTTGCAAAGCTGCTCTCCATCTGAGGTGGTTTTCAGTTCACTTTGTTTTATATCAGTAATTCTGTGTAACTGGAAAGACTGGGAGTGGCTTTATCAGTGTGAACTCTGCCCAGACCTTTGGGTGTAAAGATCTTGGGGATTTAACACCAACACCTTGAATTTGGCACTGTATTTTGCAAGCAGTGCATCTTCCACATTCTGCCAGTTAACTCCTTTACCTGAGAACAGAGGTGGAATGTTCAGGAGTTGGACTGCCTGCAGGAGTGGCACTTTGCCAGCCAGGCAGACAAAGCTCTGGTTGCTGGTGGGGGGACAGGGGTGGATGGTCTGGTGTGTGACAGGCTGGCCAGCCCTCTGCACCAGGAGTGTAAAGCCACTGCAGAGTCAGAACTCTCCCACTTGGAAGGTGACATGGCATTGTAATCCAGTTCTCCCAGGTGTGGCAGCTGTGTTCTTAGGTATCCGTTAATGGAGAAAAACCCCCACTGCTTCCGATCCATAGAAGTCTTGGCTTAGAATCTAAACATTCTCCAACATACTTAAAAATATCATGCATACTCCAGTGACTTTCTCCTCTGTCGTACAGGTGACATTTAAGTTGAAGATGGGTGGTGGAGAAAGATTCAACATTCCAGTTCCCCAATCTAGAAATCCCACCAAGAGCCATCAACAACTTAAAAACAGGCAGAAGAATAAAGACCAGAATTCGCAGATGAAGACCTATATGAAGAAAGAAAGAGGGCATGGATGCAACTCCTCGGCTGGTGCATGGCAGGCCATGCAGAAAGGGGGAAAGAACAATGTTCATTTCCCCAAGAATCAGAAGTGGAGCCCGAATTTGTCGAATCACAACCTGTTCTTCACACCTCAACCCAACCAGAACTACGCCGGAGCAAAATTCAGCGAGCCGCCCTCGCCCAGTGTCCTTCCCAAGCCACCCAGCCACTGGGTACCTGTTTCTTTTAAACCTTCAGATAAAGAAATGATGACATTTCAGCTTAAAACATTACTTAAGGTCCAGGCTTGAGATGTAAGTTTCACATTTGTAAAGTTATTTAAATTGACAGGATTTAAAAGTTGAGAATTGTTAGTCCTCATTTTAGATGTGCAGAACCAAATGTTCCTGCTGCATACAGTTAGCCACTTGGACAAAAGGGGTTGAAGTTTACATTCCCCTCATGTTTTACCTCAAGTTGTGTGCTGTGTTCACTGTGAAATAGGAATTTTCTCTATAGTCAATCTAATCAAATCTGCACAGTCACCATTTCTTGTATTTATTGTGAGAGTAAATGGGACTGTCTCCCCCAGTTGGCATTGTGACTACTTTTTGGTATGACAGAAAACCAGCTTTTGCCTAACTTAATTGCAGCATTAAGTGGAAAAAAAAATTGCACTGAAAGCTTTAGTCAGGTAATTTGCTGCTTTTCAAACTTGCATAGAACTTGCTAGGGAAATAAAGCCTCTGCCAAGGCACCGGGGCAAACACAGACCGGGCTCTTGTTTGCACTGGTGAGCCTTGTTTGGCCTTCTGGAATTAGCAAAGAAGTGTTTCAAGCCTGTGACTAAAACCGAGGGGGCTCTGGTGCGTGTTGGTGAAGAGCCAAGCAGAACACATCAACAAGGAATTGCTTCCCCCACTGAGCAGAAGAGGAATCTGCACTGGAACCCCAGCAAATGACCCTGCAGTGCCGCGTGACTGCCTGAAACCTAAACCCTGTTGTGTTCCCACTGCACCGAGGGGTTCCCAAACACCTGTTGGATCAGTTTTACATCTGAGAACGGTGGAGTAGTTACTTAGACCGGTCTTAAATGTGTGACCCTGTAACATAGCAGTTGCAGCAGCTCCTGGCAGCATTGACATGTGCCATAGGGAAGACAGAGCCATGTAAATACATGTAAAACTTTGTAGCATATGTAAATTCCTGCTGGGCTTTCCTGCACAGAATATTTTTAGTACAAAACTGCTGAATGTAAGATGGCCACAGGGTGTACGTGGCCTGAGGTAAAAGATATTTTGTTTAAAAAAGAAAAAAAAAAGGGAAAAAAAAAAAGAAAAATCCAAAACCTTTGTGGCTGTGCCCTCGCACTTGACATGCAGTGAAAATGCATGAGCTCCTTTTTAAAGTAAATCAGTGCAAAAAAGGCTTATTTAGATTTTTTTTTTAAATAAAACCCAAAACCTGAACCCCTTAAAAGCTGCTGCAGTTGAGGATCCTGGTGTTCTGTAGCATGTGTGTGTTAAGGGATGCAAAACACATCCTGTGGGATTGCAAGTTTTCCCTTTTTAAACCACACTGCTGCTTGTCACCCGTATCTGGTGCTGCCTGTAATAACCATTCCCACTGCAGCAGCAGAACCCAAAGGTGGGTCATAGTCGTTAATAAAGTGCTTTAACATGGCAGGGAGAATTGTGGATCATGAAATGTGATTTCTCTGTTCACTCAGAACAGCCTTTACTAATCTACCGCTCCAAGTAAGAGGGAATTGGCAGTTGTAAACTTGTGTTAAACTCTGTGACCTCCACCAGCAGATGAGCTGTGTCCCAGTTACAATCATGTATGCTCGACCTCAAAATTGTGAGTTACCAATTGTGTATGTATAAATTGGAAGTAAACTGAAATAAAGTAATATTTTCACCCCCTAAAAGACTCTTACTTATTTCAAGACTACTGGAAAAGCAGGAGCACACAGGTTTGGTAGCTCAAGCAGCTCTGTAGAGCTTTGACACCTCAAAATGCAGATTAACATATTTCAGTGCCCCCTTTTGTATCTTTAGCTGTCATACTGGAGGATTATCTTTGGTGAGGAGCAGCAGCCTGAGGCCCCTGGCAGGTACTCACACACACAAAATGTGCTGGAAATGGGAAGAGATTTCCTCACCACAGTCCTCTCCTTTGGACATCACAGTGCTGGGTGAGCACTGCGTTTGATAATGAACACTGACCTTACCCCAAGCCCACATGGAGCCTGCTGGGGCCATCAGCTCTGCTCAGGAAGGCCAGGCATGGAAGCCCAGAGAAGGACCCAGGGCTGGGGCAGCATCCCTAGGTGGTCCATCCCCAACAGCCCTTGCTGTGTTAATTAAGTCAGAAGCTGCTCTCAAGGTATAGTCAAAACGTGTACATTTTATTCCCAGTTCAGAGGGTTGTTTGCACAGATGGAACACAAAACTCAAGAAAGGATGTGTAGGAATAAAAACATCAGCATCTTTTGATCAAACACACTACAGGGTACACAGTCTCCCCTTCCTACTCTTGCCAGTAAGAGCATCTTTAGACACATACTATAGCAATGGACTACAGACTCTTTAAGCAAGTTACAAGATAAATGGAGAAAACCAGCAGTTATTAATGGGTGATTAAGTCCTAAAAATGTGTGAATTCATCCCTTTGTACTTCAGAATGTTACATCCCTGCCAGAACCCCAGTGGCGGTGCTGTAAGGCATCGACCCAACTGCCCTTCTCTGAACATTCTCCAAGCTGTTACCCCAGACAAAACAGCAAGAGAAAAAAGAAGCAGGCGCTCTTTCCAAGAGCTCAAACCAACATTTAAATCGAGTTTCCACTTTGAGTAAAGCCGTTGTACTGTACATTGAACATCTTCAAAAGACACAGGAAGGATAACATTGAGCTGTCAGAGACTGCTCTATCGCAGTCCCTAGTTTATAAACACCCAGCTACTCAACCACTACATGTAGGATTTGTAATTAACCACTTGGGCACATGGACTTTAGGTGAAAAAGGAGTTCCAAACGAGCCTTCTATTACTGCCGAAGTAAATCGACACGCTGCAGACGCTTTGAGCACAGCCATGGCTGTCAGCAGAAGTTTTACAGACTACTTCAATTCTACAGTTGTTTTTTTTTGCAGGAATGACAAAAATAAAATTAAAAAAAAGAAAAGAAAAAAGAAATCTATAGTTTACCACAGGAAAAAACCCCATGCCCAGAATCCCCACCGTTCTTGAGACTCCAAAAGAAAGATGCCTACACACCATCTTTTGTAGCCTGCGTTATGTTCTTGCATTCCAGCTGTGCATAACCTGCAGGTAGTTTGCACGAGACAGGCTACTGCTTCCTTAGAGCAGGACTAGACCCCTGTGCCAAGGGAGGAGGTGTTATCTAGCGGGGCTGTGGCTGGACTGGTGCCAATGCGTGAACATTCCCTGCCCTTTGGCCACATCCTGCTAACTCGTCCCCAACTGAAAGGCCCACAGAACAGCTTCTTCACAATTTTTCCATGGGAGCAAGAACTAGGACAACATCTTTATTCATGCACTCTTGAAACATCGTGGGTTTGTGTTCGGCTTTTCTGGCTTGTTCATATACACAAGTCAAGTCAAAGTTTAGTCCTACCTCTGGGAGAGAAAGAAAGAACCATCAGAACTGGCAGATACTGCAATATACTTGCAATGAACTGGATTTGCAAAACAAAAATAATTTAAACTGTGCTATACATCACTGTTGAGGCACACAACATAAGGACATGCTGACAAAACAGTCACGGTACAGTTAGTGTTACTCTGCAGTCTGGAATCAGCAGCTCAGCCTGGACACCGATGCTCTCCTCCCTCCGCCCCACTGGCCCAGCTCTACCTCCTGGAGTGTTCATTACAGCAATCCCTTGCAGGGTGCTGACAGAAGCAGACCCATGCTTGCCCACCACAGCCAGCTGCACCACTTCTATGTGGGATTTTAGTCTTGAAGACAATATTAGAGCACTGAGAACGGGCAGGCTGTTCTGCTGTTACAAGCAGAAAGCTACACAATAATCACAGCTCAACTTCAGAAGCCCAAGAGTGGATTTATCAATGCAATTAAGTGCTTTTTAGAGCTGTTTTCCCTCAGTGGCCTAAGAACCACCAGTTGCACAAATGCTAGGAGGCAGCCCAAGTTCTAAGCATCCTCAACAAAGCTTTACCACCTTCTAGAGTGGCGCCAGTTTTAATACAGCAAATAGAAATCAGTAAGAGATTTGGTTCTGTATGACTCCTAACTGCTGGTAGCTCATCACCTGGCTAACAGTATCTGCATTGTAACCACAGGGCAGTCCAGCCAGCAATAATGAAAGTCAATGGAAAAGAAAGTTCAGTACATTAGACTAGAACATCTGCTTTCTTAGTCTGGCTAGTACCCCTCCAAAAAAAGTGAAGCCATCTTTGTTCAGACACTAAATGATAAATTCCTGACTTTACTGAAATACCATAGTAAGGAATTTACTCCATAAGGGATGCACAGCTCTGCTCCTCACCATGCTCTGGAGTCAAATTCTAAAGCTACAATAATTCCAGTGGATCAGTATTTCCTTCATGTTTTTTATTACAGCATGTTTGCTAGATTTACAGCAAGCAGGAAATAAGCTGGGTCTTTAGTTATTTTGATCAAAACATTGATGTTTTAAAGGTAGTACACAATATCTGTTAAAAAGAACATATAAAAATACCTTTTTAGAAGCCTCTATAAGAAAGGAAATACAAAGTTTAATCCCACAACTTTCCTCTGCTAGAGCTGCACACTACTGCTACAGTTTTAAATAGACTTTTTGCTGTTTTTAAACTATACATCCAGGAAAGTCTACAAAATTAAAGGAACGTGCATATAAATGATTGCATAGCAGAACATGAACATTAACTGCAAACAGTAAAGGAAGAGTTAGAAATACTATCAAATGTACAAAGATTCTAGCATCAGCCCCTACGCACGTTCCGCTGCCGTATGTCAAAGCTGTCTGCATTTCTGGAAAGGCCCCGCTGAGCACATTAAACCCAAACCTACAACATTTCTCTACAAAGGAACTTGTTGAAACCAACATCTTCATATGCTACTAGGTAGGACAGCAGGGAACACTGGGTGTCTGGTGCTGGCTTTTGAAGGTGAATAGAAAAACCAATGCCAAAAGCCATTTTCATACCAAAGTATGTTGCCTTCTAGAGAAATACTGGTAAGATTACACACGGGTTTTGTTATTTTTCACATTCAATTTACTAAATATACTGTATTAGTGATAAACTAAATAGCTAGAGATGCAGCTCTTGTTCATATCCAACTGCAAACATTTGTTCTTAAGGAAATCTTGGAATCAAACCACTAACTGTTCTGAGGAAGAAGTGACCCAGACTCGCTTGACCAAGTACTTTTTGATGCGTACAAGCCAGCCTGTGCTACTCAGGCAGAGATGGCTATGGATTATACCTAATACACCAACTAACCACAGGAGTCATTGGCAGAAAAGTTTAGTTCTTATATACTGTACACACACAACTCGAAACAATCTACTGGTATCTAACAGCAGGAAAACTAAGCAATTTAATGGTTAACTGCTCACTAAAATTTAGGATACAAAAACTGCATAAAATGTACACACAACCTAATATTTAGTTGCTCTGCTGTTTGCTGAAATCTGAATTGAATTTTCCAACGCAAGGTGGTTCCCCCCCCGCAACACATTTCGTACTAGCTGCCAGGCCAAAGCAGCGATGCCTCTATCCTGACAAGTCACAGCACTGCACAAACTCTGAATGAGCTTCCAAGACCCACTCTCTCCCCACATAGTCCACACAATGTTAGTACCATCTCCCCAGACAGCAGGGTTAAGGAGGAATCTCAAACCGCTCCATTCACTGACCCGCTCAAGCCAGTGGGCATGGAGAACACAGAAACCTGCCTCTGAGCAATGGAAACAAGAACCTGCCAGTCTGCGTGTCACAGCGGTCAGTGTTGTGCTACAGCTGTCCAGTTTTCCATGTTATCACAAGGTTTAGCATTAAAGAACAAGTTAAACAGTTAGTTTAACTGTTCAGCACAAACTGGTACCAAATTTCTCTATGGGTATGACATTTTTAATAGGACAATGTTGCAAGTTACGATCAATCAAGTCATCACCAATATCTAAGCATTAAAAATGCAAGTCTTTACAAAAATATACATAGAGACACCACAACCAAATCAGTAGCTGCCCGTGACATTTAACCAAGTGGACACTCTCTCTCCCTCTCTCTTTCTCTCTCTCTCAGTGGCTTCTCAACATTGTCTTAATTTTAACCATTTTCGGCTACAGGGAAAACTGACAAAGAAAATACTTTTTAGCACTGTTGCAACATCATATTCCTGATAATTTAAGTAAACTGAACTGTGTGTAAATGAATCTTACATGCCTAAACCC